GAAACTTGTGTATATATAAAGCCTCTAATTGCCTATATAACCGACGACACCATAATTAAGACAGCTCCAGCCGGTCCCTATACATGTTAAGAACACCTGCACCATACGAGCTAACATTATTGTATATATGATATTTACGAGCTCCAAAAAATTTATATATTCTCCTCGTGAATGTTATTTTCTTGGGTATTATCGTAATTTTCTTTGCATGTTCTTCTATATAAATAACTAGCTGTACCCGCGACTTCGTCCGCGTGGAATTTAAATTTACGGCCGCCAAAAATCTGCTTATAGTCTGGAAGACTGATTGCATTTGAAATTATTATAATTCCCAAGTAAATAGCAATTACGCGGATAATATATATGTTCAAAATCTACCCGGTATCATCGTAAGCACAGATTATTATATTAGAGTCCGTTAGTTTGTGTTCCCGCGCTTTGCCTTCCCCTCCCTCACCTAGTAACAAACGGACCGTACAGCGGCCTTGACGCGCGCGCGCATTTGTTGTGAATTGAAATAAATTAGAACTGTGTTAAACCTACTGTGAAAGTGTGTGAAAGCTAGCGAAGATATCTTCGAGACCCTGAAGCCCAAGAAATCCGCAGAACCATAATGGTAAATGACTGACGTTTCCCTAACATTTTGGTAGCAGAGTAGTTTCCCAAACAATATACATCCGCTAATTACTTGGGAATTATAATAATTTAAAATGCAATCAGTCTTCCAGACTATAAGCAGATTTGTTGATTATCTTATATCGTGAGAGGTGATTCTCCATTGAGAACCCAGCCTCAGATATTCCACCTTATGCCAGGTTGTTGAAGTCTGGTATTTTACGTCTCTTAAGACGTGCCATATAATCAGGCAATGTCAGTTGAACAGCAAGTTTATTTCGATTTTTTTTTTTGTTTGAGAGATTTCCTCCTTGACAGATGATTCCCAGGTGTGATGAACCTCCGAGTTACGAATAAACCAGGGTTTACAGGTTTTTTCAATATGTATTTTGTTAGAGAGAACATTTGCAGAACCCCACAGCTGGAGTCAATACGACAATTTAAATTAATAAAAAATAAAAATTAAAGAGTTGATGTTACATAAGGGCAGAGGAAGGCAGAGATGTATGGACTGTGTGGAAGATGATATTGTAAGAAAGGAAGTGAATAACGAGATGACTGCGAACTGAATTCAAATTCTCGTTTTTCTTGTAATGAATCCTGGTAAAATAAAACATAAGTTTATTTGAATAAATACAAAACATTGGTCTGGTTTATATTGATTGTATTGGATTTAGATATGATAAATAATCATACTCATGAATATACATTTGTATTTGTACAAACATTTTTGAAGCGTGCAAGGAATCGAACCATTGGAAGTTCTAAACCGCTGAACAATCTAGGTCATCATATAATTGTCATATGACATTGTCATCCAAAAAAATCTCTATAAAATAAACAAAAAGGTCAAATGTTATTAAGGTTATGAGAGTTGTGAAACGCGTCGTTGTCCCATATCGTCGACCACATTCGGTTATGTTTAACCAGTGGCGTAGTTAAATAACCAAGGGCCCTGAAAAAATTGGACCCCACTGTTCAGCAGTGGGGCCCTACATTACAGTTTTATTAAAACGCACATATCGCTATCCGTCAAATTGACAACACTGCCAACCCACAGAAAGAATTTAGGGGAGTTCCGAAGGTATAACTTTAGAATTTCTCTCAACTGAGTTGCCACGAGTAAAGTCGGGTTGCAACCTGTTATATTTATTTTGAAAATGGGAGAAGTTTTCAAAAGTTCAGTTCGATCGAGATTTTCTGGTAAGGGTTCGAGGGCCCCCTGAACTTGAGCGTCCCGGGGCCCTAGGTAGCTACGCCACTGTGTTCAACAGCTATCAGCTAAACCTATCTGGGCTAATGGGCACCATAGATTCTGATCTATAGTCCCGTTAAACCGTCATTAACTACACTTTACTAATATTAGGAACTAGCTGTACCCGCAACTTCGTCCGCGTGGAATTTAACTTTATTTGTATAAATAAAAGTAGCCTAAGTTACTCCTTATTGCATCAGCTACCTGCCAATAAAAGTCCCGTCAAAATCGGTCTAGCCATTTCAGAGATTAGCCGGAACAAACAGACAGACAGACAGACTCAAATTGTAAAGAAAAATATTTTGGTGTATACCGTATTTATATTCATATGCATGTAGTAAAAAACTGTTATTTCAATATTACAAACAGACACTCCAATTTTATTTATATGTATAGATATAAGTATTTATAAACTACTGCTCGACCAGTAGTGGAAATTCGACCATAACTTCAAACAATAGATATTTAGCATTCAGTATATTTACATACGAGAGATAAATAAATAATCTCAGTACAATTCACACAGCGCCATCTAGATCCAAATTAAGCTACCTAAAGCTTGTGTTATGGTTACTTGACAACTGATACAAATACATAGATATGTTTTTTTTTTCGTAAATACATACATTATTATACATAGAAAATACCCAGACCGATACAAACAATCATACTCATGAATACAAATGTTTGTGCCGTGCGAGGAATCGAACCCGCAACCATCGGACGTAAAGCGGTGTGCTTGACCGCTAGACCACCGAGGTCGTCAGTATGACTATAGACAAATAATATAAAAAACAAACAACATTAATCTATTCTCGATTTGAACTTAATGTTCTTTTTATTGATTTAATGTATTTTTATAAACAATTTTAATAAAATATTAATATTCTGCCTACCCGTAAATTTTTGTAAAAATGGATGCAAAGTTTTTTTTTCACGTGTAATTATAATAAATAAAATAAATAACCCTGGACAATTAACACAGCACCATATATAGTCAATAACAACATATCATAGAGAAACAGAGCTGGTGCTATAATAATAATATAATAAGTAGCTTTGACGTGGTCTAGTGTTTTGAGTAGTCATGCTCACTAAAATGTCCAGACTTGTGGCGGCGTGGTGGGCCGGTCATTGGGCTCCCTAAAATATGGTCGAGCGCAGTGATGGCTGGCTCATCCGTCATACTCGTAAACAGGTGCTGCTTGTAGGGACTGGTCTGCTCTAATCACTATGACTGATTTCCTCTTATTAATTGTTTAACCAGTTGGTTATATATTCAATATTTTTTCTATTTGAGTATTTAATTGAATTAGTGCTAATTGGTGGTTTGTATTCACACACTTAAACTTAAAAATGTAAAGTAATAATAAAATTATTTAAAAGAGCAACACGCAAGTTTCTTGCTCGTTCTTCTTGTGATGAGCTTTCCGAATAAGCGGTAGATTAAAAAAATGTAATGACTATTCAAAAGTGCTTATATTAAGTTTATTTGAATAAATGATTTTCTATTCTATTCTTATAATAATGTATTTATTATCAGGCTTACTTGCCCACTTTGTTAGTATTACAGATTTCTTATAATTAATGTTAGTACATACAGACACAAATTACTATTAAAATAAATAATTAATATTAAATTAAATTAAAATATATTCAATTCGTTATGGGTACTAAACAACTGATATAAATACTTACATTTTTTTTGTAAATACATACATAATATACATAGAGTATATTATGTATGTATTTACAAAAAAAATGAAAAACACTTAGACGGGCACAAACAATCATACTATATACATATAGCGGTTGAGGTCATGAATATAGAGGTCGGTGCGAGGAATCGAATCCGCGACCATCGAAAGTAAACCGCTGTACTAAACCGCTAGACCACTGAGGCCGTGAGCTGCATATAATTATACATTATTTTATATATATACTAGCTGTACCCGTGACTTCGTCCGCATGGTATTTAACAAAAAAGTTATTAGAGAATTTTTCTAAAATAAAAGTAGCCTTTACGTAACGTTACTCCTTATTACATCAGCTACCTGGCAATAAAAGTCCCGTCAAAATCGGTTCAGCCATTTTTTTGACGTTTATATTATTTTGGTGTATGTACCGTATTTATATTCATATGCATGTAGTAAAAAATGGTTATATATTACAAACAGACACTGCAATTTCATTTATATGTATAGATATATTTATATATATAATAATATACAGATAGTGTTATATGACACACTCGAAGTAAGACGGAAGATTGTATTAATGGAATATGTAGTCAAAGTCATGAGAGGTGAAAAATGTAACCAAGCAGTATTGACATCGGTGTCCATAAGAGCGCCCAATAATTACGTACAAGCAAGAAGACGAAACTTGTTCGATGTTCCATGGAGAAGAACAGAGCTGGCCAAACAGGCTCCTATTTCTCTGGCATTGAGTCTACTCAACTGTGTAGTTAGTCGCTTTCCAGATCTAGACATACATATTTACTTGTAATTTGCTGGAGTTTCGTAAGATGGCAGTAGATTATTTATGTAGTTTTTTTTTCGGATTACTCTAATGCTGTTAGCCGCAGCTGGCCTTTACAGCTTCACCGGACGATAGGGGGCGAGTGCAGATGGCACTCCAAACCCGCGGAAGGACTTATGGAGCGGCTGAAGGCCAACTCCCGCCTGACAGATACGACTTTAGTCTGAGGGCACCGCTAGGGGTTCGAACCTCGGCTCAGGCCGTCGTAACATAGGCCTCCGTGTGAATTGGACGGGGTTCTATCGGAGGGCGACCGGACGCCGGTGTGGAGCGCACGGGCGCGGCCAGGCTTCCGGTTGAATGCGCGATATGTTGTGTATGAAGGTCATCGTCTTTGCCGGCGAGGACGGTGTCGTGATTGTGTGTAAAAGTGTGGTCGAGACGGAACGGGTGGGCCCGTGGGTTTATGTAGTATGTTAAATTAAGATTATGTATTATTTTTCTTTTGTTTACTTGTGTAATTAGCGTGTATGTATGTAATTAGTGTTTATAATTGTGTGTATTTGTATACAAGTGTCCTAAGTGGGCATTTGGGAGACTGTAATGCTCACTTAGTGTGACTTAAATAAATAAATAATTAATGACTTACGCTTCAGATATAAGTGCGCGTAGTTTGCAGAACACGAGGCCGAGGCTGTACGGGTACTGATGCCAGTATACTGACAGATCGTTGGGCAGACCTGAAAAAAAACATGATTTAGTCAATTTTAATACCACTGGTGGGAAATAAGCATACGGCCTGTCTGATATTTTCATAAGATATAGTCCGTATGCGTATTTCCCAAAATAGTGGTTGATTATTTGAAGTTGTATAGTATATATTATTGTAGACTAGCTGTCTGACCTGCGGCATTGTCCGCATGGAATTTAACATAATTTTTCTAATATAAAATTAGCCTAAGGTACTCCTTATTACATCAGCTATCTGCTAAAAAAAAGTCCCGTCAAAATCGGTTCAGCCATTTTAGAGATTAGCCGGAACAAACAGACAGACAAAAATTGTAAAAAATGTTATTTTGGTGTATGTACCGTATTTATATTTATATGCAAGTAGTAAAAACGATTATATCAATATTACAAACAGACACTTAAATTTTATTACTATGTATAGATTTCTTTTGTTCAATAAAGTATTACAAACAAACAAAATTATATTCATATAAAATTTCATTAAGATCCATTCAGACGTTTATCGTAAACGTAATAAATGTACAGACAGACACTTTTCATATTTATAATATACTAGCCACCCACCCCTACTCCGCCCGGGTGTACATGTATTATACATATAAACCTTCCTCTTCAATCACTCTATCTATTAAAACCGCTTCAAAATCCGTTGCGTAGTTTTAAAGATTTAAGCATACATAGGGACAGACAGCGACAGCGACTTTGTTTTACACTATGTAATGATGGTGCTGGATATTTTAAAAGATGTATAAAATTAATTTAATATATAATCCATCTTCGTAACAAATTGTATTTAATAAGTGTTTGCAATGTGTTTTTTATTACACTATATTTTGGTAGTTACGCGTTTGCTGACTTAGGATAAAAATAACAGCTGCCTCATATATAAGCAAAAACGATCTCTCTAACGACCAGTTAAATGCTATTTTACTTAAGCCAGCGTGTCTGAAAGTTATTTCTCGTAATTTATAAAATAATATAGCAAACTATACGCATAAATAAAATTGGAGTGTCTGTTTGTAATATTGATGACATGCGTATGAATAAATACGGTACATACATCAAAATAATATTTTATACAGTTTTTGTCTGTCTGTTTGTTCCGACTAATCTCTGAAATGGCTGAACCAACATTATTATCATTTAAAAATTTAAGAATTTATAAATGATAATAATGTTTTTGTAGAAAATATCTAACTTAAAATTCATAGCGCTGACAATGTTATCTGATTGAACAGAGATTAAGTGCGTAGCGGTTTCTATGTTGATTATCGCATGCCTAATCCTTGTTGTTAATTAAATTTAAGTAAATCGATATTTATTTAAAAGAGCTTTAATTCTTCTTGTGATAGATAGATAAAAATCTTTATTCGTATCATAACACAAACGTTCAAATAACACATAAGAATAGTAAATAATTATAAAAAAACTTATTCTTCTTAAACATTAAAATACATATTAGTGACATAACGAATCTGTCAACAATTTGCTCAGCGAGCAAAACACTGATTTTGTGATGAATCTGCATTCCGAATAAGCGGTAGAATAAAAAAAAACTTGACTATTGAAAAGTGCTTATATTAAGTTTATTTGAATAAAGATTATTTCTATTTCTATCTTTCTATAAATACGGGACACACACTAAAATAACATTTTTTACAATTTAATGTCTGTCTGTTTGATTTTGACTTATATTGGCAGGTAGCTGATGTCATAAGGAGTAGCTTAGGCTATTTCTACTTTAGAAAAATAAAGTTAAATTCCACGCGGACGAAGTCGCAGGTACAACTGTATGACATAATTATTAATATAAAATGTAAATTAAATTTTAAAAATTATTTTCAGTGTACCAAATAAACAATTTTCTTTCTTTCTTTACATATGGCTGTATAAGCTAGATGGTATTACAAACATATGCGCAAACGAAGTCACTACTTATATAATAAAATTACAATTTCATGTAATTTCTATTTAACAAGGAACAAGAGTGGGCGACCAGAGTTATATTATGCTGTAACATATGGGCAATGATTGAAATATGTTTGAACACCTGTGACTTAGCTAACATTTATATTAGACTAGCATTTGCCCGTGGCTTCGCTCGTTAACTTATCCCCTTAGGGGTGGAATTTATCAAAGTCCTTTCTTAGGGGATGCCTACGTCATAGTAGCTCTATGTATGTAAAGTCTCAGCGCGATCAGTTTAAAATTGAGAAAGTTTCATACAAACTTTCATCCCCTATTTTATCCCCTTGGGGGTAGAATTAATCAAAATCCTTTCTTAGCGGATGCGTACGTCATAACATCTACCTGCATGCCAAATTTCAGCCCGATTCGTCCAGTGGTTTGGGCTGTGCGTTGATAAATCACTATGTCAGTCACCTTTGAGTTATATATATATATATATCTATTAGTGCGGAAACTGTAGTATTTAATTTATATATGAAATAAACATATTAAGATTACTATATGTACCTGCGACTTCGTCACCCCAAAAAAAATATTATTAAATTTTTTCGATATTTTTTTATTTTCACATTTTTATTATGTGACATTAAAAACTATGTATAACCCTAAACTTTCATCCTTCTATCGCTAACTCCTATTTTTTTATAGCGTTATTAATTTATATGCCAAAACATCGTTTACCGGGACAGTTACTATATATAAATAGCATGATGAATAGCTGAACTTTTTTAATATATATCGGGACCTCCGGATATTTACGAAGTCAATCGGAAAGTTGTTCGCAATCAAACTTCCTGATCGACGCGTGCACCACGCATTACTCTGACAATTGACAGCCTCGGCAGTCTGTTGGTTGAGCACGTCTCACTTCCGATGGTCGCGGGTTCTACTCCTCGCACGGTACGAACATTTGTATTCATGAGTTTGATTGTTTGTATCGGACTGGATGATTTCTACCTAACCCGAGCAGACCAGTCCGTATACAAGCAGCATCTGTTCACGAGTATGACCGAGCCAACCATCATTGCACTCAACATTAGACGAGCACATTGACCCGCCACGCAGCCACAAGTTTGAACTTATAGCGAACTGTTTCAAGTTAGTAAGTTTTCATGATGGTTGGCCGTTCACGAGTATGACCGAGCTCGGCCCGCCACTAGTTTATGTTTATTCTGTAGTTCGAGCGTTCTATATGTAACAGGATATCTATTTTAAAATAAAAATAGAAATAGAAATAATATTTATTCGAATAAACTTAAATAAATACTTTTGAATACTCACCTTCCCTTTATTCTATCACTAATTCGGAACTCACTCATGACAAGAAGAACGAACAAGAAATTTGCTTGTTGCTCTTTTAAATAAAAGAAATGAATTGAAAATTGCGTGTTGCTCTTTTAAATTAAATAATCATATTGTTTTATTCTACCACTCTATCGGAACTCACTCATCACAAGAAGAATGAAGAAGAAATTTGCTTGTTGCCCTTTTAAATTAAATAATCATATTGTTTTATTCTACCACTCTATCGGAACTCACTCATCACAAGAAGAATGAAGAAGAAATTTGCTTGTTGCCCTTTTAAATTAAATAATCATATTGTTTTATTCTACCACTCTATCGAAACTCACTCATCACTAGGAGAACTAAACAGAAATTTGTTTGTTGCTCTTTTAAACAAAAGAAATGATTAGAAATTTGCGTGTTGCCCGTTTAAATTAAATAATCATATTGTTTTATTCTACCACTCTATCGGAACTCACTCATCACAAGAAGAACTAACAAGAAATTTGCTTGTTGCTCTTTTAAATAAAAGAAATGATTAGAAATTTGCGTGTTGCTCTTTTAAATTAAATAATCATATTGTTTTATTCTACCACTCTATCGAAACTCATTCATCACAAGGGGAACTAAAAAGAAATTTGTTTGTTGCTCTTTTAAATAAAAGAAATGATTTGAAAATTGCATGTTGCTCTTTTAAATTAAAGAATCATATTGTTTTATTCTACCACTCTATCGGAACTCACTCATCACAAGAAGAACGAACAAGAAATTTGCTTGTTGCTCTTTTAAATAAAATAAATGATTAGAAATTTGCGTGTTGCTCTTTTAAATTAAATAATCATATTGTTTTATTCTACCACTCTATCGGAACTCACTCCTCACAAGAAAAATGAACAAGAAATTTGCTTGTTGCTCTTTTAAATAAAAGAAATGATTAGAAATTTGCGTGTTGCTCTTTTAAATTAAATAATCATATTGTTTTATTCTACCACTCTATCGGAACTCACTCCTCACAAGAAAAATGAACAAGAAATTTGCTTGTTGCTCTTTTAAATAAAAGAAATGATTAGAAATTTGCGTGTTGCTCTTTTAAATTAAATAATCATATTGTTTTATTCTACCACTCTATCGGAACTCACTCATCACAGTCTTCCTGTGATGAGTGAGTTCCGATAGACTAACTTTTAAATAAAAGAAAGTTGTTTTCGAGTTTATTCATTACAAACAAAAAACAGTTATTCCATATCACAACATTATTTTAGATAATCCCTTCTATTAATATAAGAAAGAGTATCAAAAATAAAATACAGTTGAACTAGCCTTTTATTAAAGAAACTTCTATGAAGAATGGAACAGATTTGCTTCATTTATAAAGCTTAATGAGTGCTATGTTTTATGTTCACTGCAATATTAATTGTAATAATAATTTTGTACAAGATAGAGTGTAACAATAGCTTCAATCTATACAGTAAGATAGGGTTGCCAACCGTCCTGTTTTCCCAGGATAAGTCCTGGTTTCCGAAATGTCCTGGGAAGTCCTGAATAGTTATTTATCAGCCTACTGAGTTTTTAAAACATGCGCGCCTTATAATTACTGATTTTCAACAGTGTAATTTTATCAAATAATATATTAATAACTTGATTATATTAATTACTTGAATTTTACTACATTATTTACATTTTATTGACGACCTCGGTGGTCTAGCGGTCTAGCACACCGCTTTACGACCGATGGTCG